GACGAGGATCAATGCTGCTCTCCAAATGGGTCTCTTCTTTTGTATTGACTCCCTAATAAGGATTGCTAATCCCCCTTTCTAACTCTTCCCCCCAAAATAATATATCGCCCCTTTTAGAATGTATTGATCCACAAAGTAATGAATATTCATGAGCACAGAAACTGCTACGTCATGAATAAATTAGCATAATTTAAATAAAAATTGAATAAAGTTAGGTACTCCTTCTGGAGTCCTGCCAAGATAATTAAGTTTTTGTAAAAGTGACTAAAACTCACTTCAAATTCGAATCCTCTATTGATTTCACACACAGTCAGCTGGCGCACACGTGATAATAAAATAAATACGATATTTACTATATGGGGGCCGCCATCTTGAATGACGCATAAAACTAAATAAGAGACAAGTTGTGAAACGCGTTTTTCAGATTCCTACAAATCAGGACAAAAATACCAATCTTTCACAAAAATACGGTCCGTTGGGGTTATATTAAGCCAACCGATAATAAAACTCGGCCTAATTCGTCGTTTTTGTGTGGAAAAATCCCTTGTATACGAACACCTAATTACGCGAAGAACCTAGAACACTAAGCCGGGGTATTTGAAACCGAAATTGTCATCTAAGCGTTAGGCCGTCGCTGATTGGCTGCTGAGCTGGAATGCCAATTTTTAGTTTTAAATACCCCCAGATAAGTGTTGTAAGTACGATCTCCGGTGAAATGGACCTTGCGAAGTTAGACGGCCAGGTTGAAATGAACCGTAATATTTTGCTACACAACGGCTATTCACAGTTTTTGTACTCAATCGCTCAAACGCCGGTGAGAAAAAATCGAAATGGAAGACAACTATTGTAAATCGAAACAGGTTTCATTCAAAAATTAAAACGAACCCTGACCTCTGGAAATACCTCATTCATAGAGTGCTATAGTACCAGAGGTCGCCGAGCACGGCCGTACAACGTACTTTGCGACATCGCTACAGATACATGCTAGGGGGTTTCTGATTAAGGTAACCAAGATGGCATTCAGAGTGCGTGATTTTTCCGCGATGTTTAAAAACAGCATCTCGTTGCCGATGTTTCTGTTTTCGGGGTATTTTTTTTATTTTTAAGTAACCGAGCATTTCACGTTTGTGTATTTTGCCACTGAAAAGTTAGTTATCGACGACAGCACAGCAATGGTCTGAATGGTGTTTTACCACTACTACATCGCAATGCTATCAGCACGGTGATCGTTATGGCGAAACGACAAATGTATAATTAGTCAGTTTCATAATGCCTTCGGAGAAAAAAATGCGTGAAAAAAAAATATTGAACAGTACTCCACTGGAAGCTGCCAGGCTAGAAGTTGTCGACATGTTGCGAGATAAGGGTGAAAAAGTTTACTTATCATTTACAACTGTATGTTTTTTGTATTCCGCTTGCATGCTGGAAGCGGTTACGTCTTGTCTTTTTTTTTGTAGTTTGCAAGACTAGTTGGTAGCGCTTGAGGTAAGTTAAA